TCATTATATTACAGTATTATTATTATTGTACCGCGTACAAGGATTGATGCATCGCGGTTATTCAACTATAGTACCGGTATTTCCTTTTTAATGCTCGCTAAATCAAGCATTCGTGGATTTCCCCTCTTGAATTACCGTAAAGTACATGATTAAAAAAAAATTACTTTAGCCAGCAGCAGCGAATTTTGGAACCAGCAGAAACGAATGCGTTGTTTATATATTCTTGTTTTCTCCATCAGTGACTGCAAGCGACAGTGTCGGCGTGGAGTTGTTTTCTCTCCAGACACTGCGAGAGAAAATCAGCCTGCCGAAAAGAGAATCGCGAGCATTTATAAATCAGCGACAATACAGTATCTCGCTGCGATTTAGCGTCGCGACGGTGGTGTCGTGAACGGAAATCCAGTGTCGAGAGAGAGAGGGAGAGAGTTGCTTCTTCCCATGTGCTTGAGTGTGTTTGTGTCAATGAATGCACTGTGCTCTACTTACTTATTGTTACTGCATGTGTGCTGATGTCAGCTAGTGTGAGGCAAGAAGGAAAGAAAAAAGAAGAGGAGCAACCCCAGGTGAGACATATATTTCATTCACCATTATGGTTGTACAGTAATGTACAGTGTTGGGTGGGACTACACCAAAACACGGGTGGGTGGGAGTAGCAGCTACTTCCTCTGCTCTAGCGACATCTACATCATGATTTACCAACTCATATAGGTTACGTGAATTTGTTTCAGACTCAGTATGGCTGAGATATTCACGTTATCTTACAAATGTACTGTAATTGTAATTATTATCATTATTTTTGTGTGTGTTTATGTGTCACGCTTCATACTCGGGTATAGGTCCTTGTTGGGTGCAGTATTTTTTGTAAAGTACAGTACGTTACTTATTTCGCTGATGGTATTTGATTGCCTCTGTCCCGTCCCAACTCCTGCTTCGCTCATCAACTCGATCAGTTTATGCATACTTTATGTACAATAATTCCCCGGTACTATTGACAAAAATGATGGCTGAACACGTGTTTATTTATTTTTTATCTTTTAAATTTGCGTGTGTGTGTGTGTGTAGATTGGATGAACGACTTGGATACGCTAGCCCGGAAAAAGGCCACGAAGAAAAACTCGTCGTCTTCGTCAGCATCAGTCATGACGATCAAGAACAAGATGATGCCTCGTCATGAGTAGGAAGGAACGTCTAGTGAATACAAAGAATTCGTCAGCTGTGAGAGAGCAAATAAATAAATAAATAGAGTAATTAAATAGAGAATCAGATAAAGAAGAAGAGAAATATGGACTGCCTGATTCGCGGCAAGCCGTTCTACTGCCGGGAATGGGCCTTTGCCAAGATCGCCCATTGCCTGGAGAGTCGGGCGGCGTCCAAGACGTGCGGCGTGTTGGTGACCGGTGGCGCCGGTTGCGGGAAAACGGCGCTCTTTTCCGAGCTCGTGTGGCCGACGAGGAACCACGCGAGGCAGAAGTCGCTCAGTCGCCGAGTGCTGGCCTACCACTTTTGTCAGGTATGTGTGTGTGTAGTTTTTTTTTTTCTTCTTGAAATCAGCAATCACCATGTGTACTACCAGCAGATGACCCTGATGATTCAAATATAGTTTTGCCATTGAGGAACCACGCGCTTCAAGCGTTGGACTTTGTTGAGAGTCTTGGAAGAATTTTGCACATTATATGATGCCCGGCAATTTGTTAGACATGGAGTTACCAAGCATGGGAAGAACTCTTGATTTTTACTTTTGATCCAAGTGCTTGTCAGTTCTTGGCAAACAACACGTTGCCTGATGAGCATAGCTATTTATTATTGTTGAGGTTTCACATTGACTGAAGACTCGAAAGAGGAGAAGAAAGGTCCTTATTGAGATGACACTCGTGTCTCGGATTTAGTGCTGGCCGGGGGTTTTGAGAAGCATGATGCCTCGACTTCCCTGATCTTGAAATTTAACGAAAGGCCTTATATGTCACGTACTCTCCATTTCCAACGTTGAGAACTAGAAAGTTTATTGGCGCAGAAAAGGTCTTTTTGAGACTAGAAAGTTCATTGAGGAATAAACGTCCTTTTATTATTTTTGTAAACTTGAGGCTAGGAATGAATTGAAACAAACATTCCTCCCTCTGATGCTGGTCTGTTGTATAGATAGATAGACGGAATTCCACATACCGGTACAGTACTGTACGAGCTTTAATCCCGCGCATGTAGGGAAAACGGATCGATGATATTTGTGTAAGAAGTCCCGCCTGATGCTGCAGGTGCTGTGTAGTGCCCCGAGATGCCGCAGCAGAGCCCCAGTCGTACAGTTGAGTAATTAATTCGCGGTGCATCTGTGGGAAGTCGCTAATGAGCGGAGGAGACTGATGCAAATGCAGAAGGAGAAGGTTCTTGTTGTTGTTGTTGTTGTTTTCGACGTCATCACCACCGCGATCATCATCATCATCATCAGCAGCACCACCAACCAGTATAATGGCTGGCCTTCTTGTATCACGATGTGCGTGCGCCTTTTCTTTCTCAGGACAAAGACCCCGTTTTTGGTGCGAGTGCAGCGATGTGAATCTCCTCTTGTTGTTCACTCGAGTACTGTACTGTACTACACTCTGCCCTGTCTCTGATCGCCTGTCTCTGTCTGTCTCTCTCTCAGCCTTACTTCTACTATATGCTGCAGTAGTAGAAGTACTGCTCTGCTACACCACTGTGTACTGTTCTATAAAAGGCAGTCACACGCCCCGATTTCCACGCTTATTCACACATTTTTAAATCTCTCTCTTTGTGTGTGTGATTGTGTGTATGTCTGCTGTGGTTGCAAGAACAATTGCTCCTCATATTCAAACTTCTTTGGGGGGTATATACAGTACAGTATTTCGCAGAGAAAAAGCTCCAATAGAGTTGCGTCGAAATCATCCGGAAGGGTTTATTTAAAATATAAAAAAATAAATGCATTACTGTAATGTATTTTAAGCCCTAGATAAATGAGGAAAGAAATATCCTTTTTTTTTATTCGCGTGATTTCGCGATTTTTCTTTTAATTTTGAAAATGTGGTCATTCAGAAATCACTCATTTTCAATATTCAACAAAAAAAAAAAAGAAAAAAATAACTGTACGTAGAGCCTTAGTGGGTTTCGATTGTTTGGTCATCTTGATTGATTGATTGATTCTCTCTTTCGAGTTGGTCAATGCTGTCAATTTAGAAAATCAACTTCTTCACTCTTTTTACATTTTCAATCGACGCCTGCATTCTTGGGCGTTTATTCATCTATGGAATTCTCCCGAGACTCATAATAAATAAACTTAATTTAAAAGACTCTGTTTTGTGAAAAAAGGAAGGGCACGCGTTTTCGTAATCATTAAACTTGAGCTGTACTGTACTGTACTTGCTTCAAAAGTCAAGTCTGTTGACGTTTCGGAACCAAAATGAATGAGACATTTCTAAAACTCGTTTGTCTCACACTTTTTTGTTGCTCTTGTTACAGTTACAATATTTTTATATGCTGGGAAAGAAGAACAACACTCGAAAGCTTGTCGCAGTAGTTTTACTGTACATTCCTTATTGGCGTTAAGAATTTGAAATTCTCGTTCTTCAGTCCTCGAAACTGTACAGTACTTGCTTTTGACGAAACAAAAAGAAAGTCCATCAAGTATACGGTACGTTCCTACTGTACTTCTTGAGTTGACTTTCAATCGCATCTCCTCTCCTCGCACCTATCACACCCCCCCCCTCTCCGTTCCTCTGGCGCCTCAATCGTTGAGAACTGTTTTTAGTCTGAAAGAGCCTCCGGCCAATTGTGAACACACTGTTCACAAAAGAAGAATACAATACAATACAAGAAAAGAGACAGACACGTGTTTAAATAGCATCGTTTGTTCAATTTTTTGTTCTTGCTTTTCTCCTCTTTGGCATGATCAGGCACACGAGGCCCGCAGCGTGTCCGTGACGTCCTTCATCCTGAGCCTGGTGCACCAGCTGGCCCAGAGCGAGGCGCTGCCGGGCTACGCGGCCCGCCTGTCCGAGCCGGCCATCCGCGCTGCCCTGGACGTGCGGGCCTGCGACCGGGACCCGGACGCCGCCTTCCGCACCGCCGTCCTCTTGCCGCTCCTCGAACTCGGCGACTCCCGACCTGCCGGCAAAACCTTTTGCATCCTCGTCGACTCGGTGGACCAGCAACAGGCCCTGTTCCACGACGATCATCATCATCATCACCAGCAGCAACAACAACATCATCATCACGTCACTGGTGGTGGTGGCAACAACACCAACACCAACACCAGTACGACGATTGCCGAACTCCTGGGCAACAACCAGCACTTGCTGCCCGACTGGATCGTGTTGTTGGTGTCGGCTCGTCGTCAGAGTCGGGCCGTGACTCGCGTCTTTGCCGGCTTCCGCAAGATGACGCTGGACGACCTGCGGAAACCCGCCGTCGTCCGCGACGTGCAGCACTACATCCTGGCCCGGCTGGACCGCGACGAGGCCGTGCGTCGCCACTTGTCTCGCGACACGGCGGACATGTTGAACCAGCTGCACATCAAGAGCAACGGGTGCCTGCTGTACCTGGAGAAGGTGCTGGACGGCGTGGCGGCGGCCTTCATCAACATCCGAGAGATCAAGGACATCCCGGGCATGCTCAACGGACTCTACCTCTACCTCTGCCAGCGACTGTTTACAAGGAAGCAGTTCCACAAGGCCCTGCCGCTGGCCAACGTCCTGCTCGCGTCGCCGCACGCACTCACGCGAGCGGCCCTGTGCGACGTCGTCAAGCTGGCCAAGCCGAGCGTGACGGACGAGGACTTTGAGAGACGGTTTGCCCTACTGCGACGCGTGCTCATCCAGGACGACGAAATGGAAGGAGAAGAAGAAGAAGGACAAGGACACAATGAAGACCAGAAGAAGAAGAAGGGCAGTGACAGCCATCGAGTCATCTTCTTCCACCACTCGTTTGCCGAGTGGCTCGTGGACGTGAAGCACTGCACCTACAAGTACTTGTGTCGGCCGACCGAGGGCCATGCAGCCCTGGCTGCGTGGCTTGGGGCCCGAGCCGCAGACTTGTGCGACGAGCAAGTGCACGAACTCGCGCTGCATCTCACGAGGGCCACCCGACAGCCACCACCACCGCTGTTGTTGTTGTCGTCGTCGTCGTCATTGGAGAATAAGAAGAAAAAGAAGGTCGACAACGAGGAAGAAGAAGAGGAGGAAGAAGTTGTTGTTGCTGCTGCTACTGCTGCTGTTGGTCAGGCGGCGGCTGGGGACATTGACCACCAGCAGCAGCAGCAGCAGTGGCGCCACCAGGACGCCGTCCGTTGGCTCGTCGCCAAGAACGCCCCGGCGGTGCGAGACTGTCTCCGAGATTTAGTGCCGAAAGATGCGCGTGTGTATCGATTACTGCGTGACGCCGGAGCTGAAGAAGAAGAAGAAGATGATGAGAAAGAAGAACAACAACCAAAACAAGAAGCAAGCGTTGACCAAGAAGAAGAAGAAGAAGAAGAAGAAGGAAAACATGAACATGAACGCAAGAGGAAAGACCGAGGAAAGAAAAAAGAGGTGGCGGAAGAAGACGAAGAAGAAGCAGAAGAACGACACCGCGTCGACCTCATGATGCGGCAGCTGCAAGACATGGACTTGTCCGCCGTCGACGCCGACCATCGCACTCTGCTCCACTGTGCCGCCAACGACGGCGACGTCCGTCTCGTGGCTGCTCTCGTGGCCCGAGGCCTGGACGTGTGTGCCGAGGACAAGGACGGACAGACGGCGTTGAGTCTGGCTGCTCGCCAGGGCCACACGACGGTCGTGGCCCAGTTGCTGAGAGCAGGAGCCGAGTGCGACCACGCGGACGCCGACGGCTGGAGTCCCCTGCGGGCAGCAGCCTGGGCGGGCCACCTGGCCGTCGTCGAGGCCCTGCTGCACCACGGGGCCAGTGTGGACTCGGTGGACGCAGACAATAGGACAGCTTTGCGGGCAGCAGCCTGGGGAGGACACGACGACATCGTCCGCAGACTGGTGAGCAAATACAGTGCAGTAGAAAAAGAAAAGAAAAAAAGGGGCCACATTTTGTTTGCTCATCCTCATCATCATTATTCGATCTTTAATTTAGTCCTCGATAATTCGAACCTTCCTATGTCGACAAATTATCTTTTTTTTTTCTTCTTCAAGTCCCTTTCTGAATTCCGTTGAAATGCATGTATGAATGCATGTAAACCTCTCTCTCCAACTCCAAGGCTTTCTTCCTCGAACCTACATATACAATACTGTATACTGTAACTCGAATTTTCTGGAAATTCTTTCGGCTATTACCTCATTGACGCAGAAAAGAGGAGAAAAGTAACTTGAAAGAAATTAAATTGACGTACTTTTTGGACAAGTGAAAACTCATGTCCCCAAGTTCAGCATCATCCTGTCAACTCGTTGAAGAAGCAATTTAAGCCCCATATAGAATATTACGAATTACTGTACGATATCCTGAAACTCTTCTTCCTTTNCCAAAGAAGAGTGCTTATTCCCCGACTTGAATTTTTCTGCCGGTCTCGTAAAGTTCGACTGTATTTAATGTACAGTATATGTATTTTTTGGTTTTTTCGAAACCGTACATTTTTTGTTCAAGTAAATTTGAAATCGTGGAATCGGAAGTCCCAGATATCAAACATGACATCATGGTTAATATCGCTAATTCTTTTTTTCCAACTCATAACTGGTATATTCAGACGAAGCATATTCATTGTCCCAACAGTGCACAGATTTATAGTTGACGTTCGTCTTTCCTCGCAACAAACACGCAAAAGACACTCGGGTAGATTCAATAAATAATTTTGTACAGTATTGTTCTGAACCCCCTTATTACAGGCACGTACTGTTTGCATTCAATTTCAATTTCCCCATCAAAATCAGAATTAACAAAATGATGATTGATTGATTGATCGATCGATTAATCGATTAAACTCCCTTCAATTAGGTGGCAGCTGGCGCCGACGTGAACCGCCAAGACCACGAGGGCAGGACGGCGCTCATCGCCGCCGCCTACATGGGCCACTGCGAGATCGTGGAGCTGCTGCTGGACAGTGGCGCCGACGTGAACCACGAGGACTCGGACGGGCGCACGGCGCTGTCGGTGGCGGCGCTGTGCGTGCCGGCCAACGAGGGCTACGCCCGCGTGGTGCACACGCTGCTCACGCGTGGCGCCCGGGTGGACCACGAGGACAAGGACGGCATGACGCCGCTGCTGGTGGCCGCCTTCGAGGGACACAGGTCAGAGCTGGCAAACTGCATACTGCATATAGAGTACTGTACAATACTGTATATACTGTACAGAATACAGTACAGTAAACAGCAGAGTGTTCGTGCTCCATCTTTCATTTCATTCAGCTTTTTATTTATTTTTAAATACAAGTGTATGCAATACTGTGCCTCAATTCCTGCTTTGTGTTTCACTTTAATTCCCCTTTTTTGGTGCCTCCAATTCAAGTTGGAAAGGTCTCTCAGTTGTGTACTACAGTACCTGTACAGTGCATTCAAAATGACCAGGATGAAGTTTAAAGCTTTGTATGATTTCGCCTCACAGACTATTTTCCAAATATTTTGAATCAGCAGTAAAAAAAAAAAAAAAAAACTTATCTGGGAACAGGCTGCGACACCTTGTGTTTTTAAGCTGTGCTCAGTAATTGCCCTGTGCTGTGCGATGTTGGTCATTCTTCAAAATAAAAAATAAAAATGAATCATTGTGCTTTTTATGCATTCTTATGTACTGCACTTTGATTTTATTTTCTTTGAGTAACTAGCGAGCGTATCATACGAGAGAAAGAAAAAGTAATTCTTAATGTTTTTTCTTTTACAAACCGGAATGTGTCTAATTGATGTGGGACCTCGTGAATGCTGACAAGCGGCGGCAGATGCAGCTTTTGCACCAATCAATCAATCAATCAATTAAAATGGCACCCAATGGTTTCTCAGCAGAGAGGCCAAGTCTTACGAATACCGTAATTATTTTTCACATACTGTATGCTTCTTGCTCTCTGAGAAAGATATACTTTTGGAGAGCCTTCGCATTCAGCAGCCCAACTTGAATAGATGGAATATTTCCCATCGGGTTCTGGGAATCTGTTGCGAAGAATAGCAAAACTACTGTACATCGTTTCAAAGCTTAGCTTTACTGCTTCTTTAAAAATCTTGTTGAGGAAAAGCGAGAACCGTGAAATACTGTGCCTGCATTGGAAAATCCATCGTGTTTTCAATCTCTAGAGAAAGATTCACAGGGAATATATCGCTGAACAATGGGAAGCGTGTTTGTTGATTTACTTGAAACCATGCAAAGGCACGCGTAAAAACTAGGTCAACCATTGTTTTTTGAATCACTTGAATCCTCGCAAGAAAGTGCATGCGTATCTATATTGTATCTTAAATGGTGTCCATGCTGCTGCTGCTGCTGTTGGGTGGGGGTGACTGATGCTGTATATATCAATGCATAATAGATGAAAATGTGGGAGGTGGAGGCCCGCAAGAAAGACACTATTGGTTGAAGTACCGGTACCCAAACAATCATGTGCATTTTTTCCTAGAATGAGAGCAATCAGCAATCAGTTTGCAAGGGTATATATACGTACGTGACGAATCATGTAAGGTCTCCGATGCCAGTCCTGCACACCCTTCCTTGTTTCCCTGCAAGATTAAACAAATCAAACGTCAATCAATCAGTTGCAAGTTCCACGCCATCTGTTTGATGGGGGTTTGTTTATGTCTAGCACATGTGTCGTCGTCACGAGCATATGCAGAGAACTGATGAACAAACAAACAAGCAAACACGCTTTAAATGCCAGGCCATGCCATGCCATGCCGTGTCTCTTCGGTGGCGTGTGAAATGGGTCATCCTGAGTCTGTTTGGCTCCAGCTAGATTTTGGATTCGCAGTCTTATCATCTCGTATCTTTCCTCGCTCTCTTGAAGGACTAACTGTACATGAGAGTATTTAAAATGACGTCGGGGTCCATCAGTAGATTGAGTTAGTGAAAAAAGAGTTGAAGGAACCCGGGGCCCCTCTGTTCACCGTGAGAACCCGGCCACTCGGAGGGGGTTTCCTTTTTTTTTCTTTTTTTTTCTTCTTGATTGATTGTATCCGCCCCCGTTAATTATCTGGGTTTGCAGATGACCCGAGTGCATTTATCGAGGAGTAGCCATTGTTCGTTCGAATGAACAGCTTGCAGTACTGTATAAGCCGAGTACATTACAGTAGCTGCTCATCTCCTTGCATGGTATGACATATACCGTACTCCCTCTCCGTCTCTTGACCGCAAGTCTCTCGTAAATGTACCTTTGAGTTCTTTGCCCCCCCCCCCTCTTCTTTTAGGTTTCATGTGCAAACGAGGTGCTACAGTAGTTGTTATCTTCATCTTGTTTGTTTCTTCATTCTTTTTCTTCTTCTTCTTCTGGTCTATATATATGTATGTTTTTGTTTTTATTTTCGGAATTTTCTTGGAAAGGAGCGAGACTTTACCTGTATGATATGACTCAATGTGCGAATGCTTTGCATGCATGATGAACATCTTCACCAGCATGATCGAAGCTAATTTTTATTTTCGAAGATCACTTGGTTTTTCCCTTAGTGTACAGTAATAATGAAAGAAATGCGAGAATACCAGGAATGCGAGATCTAATTGATCTCGCACAACAGACAGGTCTGTTGTGAACATTTTCTCCACTCATTAATTTTGAGAAATCTCGTCAAACTGAATTATTCAGCCTGAAGTCCCCCAAGATTTGTTTCCAACTAGATTTTGCAGTCCAATAATATTATAGGGTGCATATACGTTTGCTGAACCACCAGCTATTCTGCAGAATACAGTATTGGAAGATTGATCTGTGCATACAGTATACAGCGTTTTGAAGATGGGAAATGTCTCCAAAATTATTAGAAAGAAAAAAGAAAAAAAAGAAAAAAGACATGTTGCTGAAAATGTACGGTAGAATTCTGCTGGATTCTTCCATGTGCTCATATCCTACTCTTTTTTTTTTTTTTTTTCTTTTCTTTCCACAATGTATATATGTAGGGGAGTCTGCGAACTGCTGCTGGCTGCCGATGCAGACGGCGACCACACCGAGAAGGCCGGCAGCAGGTCCGCCCTCTGGCTGGCCGCGTCCATGGGCCACGGGCCAGTCGTGAAGCTGCTGCTGGACCACCACTGCTACGTGGACGGGATCGATGCCGAGGGACGCACGGTCCTGTCCGTCGCTGCAGCACAGGTAAACACGTGTTTGCAAATTCCATGTAGCCGACTCTGTTCCGTGACTGACTGACAGAGTGACTCGTCTCTTGATATTCATATCTCTCTCTCTCTCTGCTGGCACGTGACAACATCCGACGAAGATAACTTGGGGGTGGGGGGGAAGAAAAAGAGGAGAGAACCACATTTAACCGTCCCTCGTTATGATGATGATGATGATATTATTATTATTATTTTTTGTTGGATCATCATCATCTTCTTCTTGTTCTCCTATTCTTTCTTGTCGCATTTCCTTCCCTCCTTGACCGAGGAGAGGACAAGGCCGTAATTGACCCGGGTCTCGGCTCTAATGGACCGAGGGACTCCTCGCGCGCTTTCTGGGCTCGTGTGTGTGTTTGACGACGGCGTGAAGGAACCCGGGTAATTAAACGGGTTCCTTTTCCCACGTCCCCGTCGGGAAGGTTCAAGGCTTGAATCTGACTCGACTGAACTTGACTATACTGCTGGCGTCCTTCTTCTTCGTCTTCTTTCACGTCTTCCGGCCTTCCGAAGATTATTAGGAAGGGGGGTTGGTTGGTTGGTTGGTTGATTGAGTTCCGCGTGCGTGCGTGTGCCCTTTTTACTACTCTTTGTTTCTTTCATGAGGGATGCCAATGGATTCGGATGTGTGTGTGTCTTTACACGACTCCAGTATATAAGAAATCGTTTCATGATGATGACGGACGCGCATTTCTTACCCTTCCCTCCCTCCCTCCCTTTTTTTTTGGTGTCCTGCTTTTATTCAAGGATGAAAAAGCGTCGTCTCAAGTGGAGGCAATTTCAAGTATTGAGGGTTTTTTGTCTTGACTTTTCCATCGGGTGACACGGCAAGGACATGCATTATACAAATAAATTTTTTTTCTCCCCCGTTTTACTCCGTACTTCCTGCTCCAGCTATTTCCTTTCGAGACGTTCACTGAAAATGCTGGCAAAAAAAAAAAAAAAATTATGAGCCATGGGCAGGTATTTGTAATTTATCAAATTTCATTCTCATCAGGATGGAAGAAGAATGTGAAATGAAAAAAGAAAAAATCTTGGCATCTACCGGATTCGAAGCAGGAAACGCTTCTTTTTTTCTCTTTCATTTCATGACTCACCCTTATATTTGGCTTGGTCGAAAATGAGAGGAAATTCGATGCCGGTGGCATCCAAAAAGACACTACTACTGTATCTTTAAAAAAAAAAAGAGCTATGGAACAAATTGCGGAATCCCCGGGGAAATTATTCCCGTGTCTCATTATAAGAAGAAAAAAAAAGATAATGATTTGTGAATCATTACGTGCCGAAGCTTCATGGATTATCTGATGGTTAGCATTTTTGCTAACTTTTTAAACTGACGAAGCATCAATCTTTATAATTCGAAATGTCTTTGAGAAATTGAAAGAATTACAAATGCATCTTCATCCCGCAAGCAATAATGTCAGAAGTCTGTCTGGGCCACATACTTTTTGCCTGCAGAGTGGTTCTTTTCTCTTCATTTTTTCCCCCCACTTTCCTTTTTCTTTTTAATGGGTTTATATATATATATATAGAATGAGAGAGAGAGAGCCAGGGACATGTTGGAAACCCACTGACATGAGAGGTGAAGAATCCGAGTGTTACCCTCGGAACCCATAGGAGTGAACCCTCGTCGTTTTACCATGTGGGACTCGTCGTCCGTCGGGGTCGTGTCGTGTCGTGTCGCGTTCTTTTTCTCTCTGTCTCTGTATCTCTATCTCTCTGCAGCAGTTTTGCTCAAGGGGAAATCAGTCACGTCCATCTGAGCCACGTGCTGATGTACACAACAGTATATCTATACAGAGAGGAAAGAAAGAAGAAAAGAAAAGACAATGAAACAACGTTTTCGTGTGTATGTAGCTTCTGCTGCTTCCTCCTGGATCCCTGCTGACCTACACACACACACATGCATGTATCATCATCATCATTCATGGTTCCCCGTCGTGGCCGGCATTTGTCCCACCTGTCTGAAAAATTTAGAGAAAAATCTGTGATGCTTCAGCGCAAGAATGTTGTACTGTGTGACAAAGACGGTGGAGTGGGAGTCTGTGCGTGAATCCTTCTCATAGGTATACTTGTACAAGACCTTTTTTCAATGCGCGATGGAATCTTTGAAAAAAAATTAGAAAAACGAGAAAAAAGATTATCTGTTCAAGAGTCGGACGTCGAGGGACCAGCAAAAAGAAAGGAGCGTTTTTTTTCGGAAAAAGGGAGGGAGAAAGAAGAAAAATTACAGGAAATTGTAATGGTTGGTTTTTCGGACTTCAAGTTGAATTCCTTTTAAATGATTTCACGCTTTGAGGCAAGCGTTCATGCGCCCAATTAATTATTAGTCGTCTCTCATAACTTTCTTTCAAAATACGCATCAAGTTACAATTTTTTTTATTGCTCTTCTCATCTGTGCCAGTGAAATACAGTAATTGCCAACAGACTTTCAGAAAATTCGAGTCCTGAATATGGTTTTGAGGAAGAAAGCCTCGGAATCGGGGAGGTTTTTAATGCATTGTCTCTAGAGGCAGGGACTTGGAAAAGAAGAAATTCATTTGTCTTGGAAAAGTTCAAATCAAGTTATCGAGGTTCTACTAAATGATACAGCATTTTAAATGCTCTCACCCAGTATAGAGAGCATATTATTTACGTTGATTCATTTAGTTGTTGTTTGTGTTGTCGAAAAATGCAGCCTATTTTCGTTTACCGAAAATCCAAAAAATAAAATAAAATGGAAAAGTCAGATTTAGGAGTGGAATGTGTTTGAAATGCAAATTTCCCTCTCTTATCCCTGCGTGTATGTGTGTGTGTGTGTGTGTGCAGATTAGGTGCCAAATCGGGTTGCCTGTGTCTATACACTGTAGTAAGAGTACGGTACTGCAATAACAAGTCTGTTTGCAGGGTCTGCACCGCGTCAGTCATCATGACTCGTTCCGAGTCTCCTTTCCTCGTGTCCCAATCCTCGATCGACGCGCTAGTTACTGTTTACGTTAAACGCGTAATACAGAACGGTAGTTTTCTTGGGAACTTTGTTGCACGTACAGTATTTCGGAAAATACTGCGAAAAATCCCGGGGGGGAAAGACGCGTTCAGCTCGCGGAAACTAGCATATATATATTTTTTTTTACTCGCCTGCAGGAAATCGCTGATTTCCGAGTCACATTCTAAGCCCCCCAAACCGAAGGTAATTGTTATTCACTTAATTGGACATGGTTTTTTGTTTTGTTCGTTGTTGTCTTTTGGTGCATCCGGGTGCAGCACTCACTACTTATGTGTACGTTCAAGCATATATGATAACATACGGTACTGTATATTTCTCAAGATGGACAGAATCATATTCACAAACAATTGTATGATGTTAATGTTGAAATTAACCTCTGCTCGCCTTGCTTTGTTCCCCGACGCACGAGCAGTGAATATTTAGAAAAAACAAAGAAAAGAATGGATTTTGCCTAAGGAAAGAAACGTGGTTTCTATTATAGTACAGTACAGTATAATCAATGCCTTTGCCGCATTCTGTGTGTGTGTGTGTTCTGCGAGATAAACTTGTCGAGTGAGGCATGAGAAGAATATTCTCCTGTTATTATTTCTGCTCAATAACTTGCCCTTGAAAAGGTGTGCCTTACTACGAACAAGTGATGGCAGTTGGTTCATATTCACGGCAGCTCATCATTTCGTGCGATAATAAGCCCTCTTCGGGAAGGAACCTTCCCCGCTTGTTTAGAAGAAGAAAGAAAAAAATCGAAGCAATGTGAAACACGTCCATTCCTTCCCCCAGCAGCTACTTTTTAAAAATCATTATTTTCAAAACGTGTAATTTTAGTCCAGATATACAGTATTATACTGTATAATGGACGTGTTGGGAGTCGGATCGCGGAAGTTGAGCCCAGCTTGGTCTGTGCAATCACATACTGTACTGTACGTATGTACAGTACAGTATGTGGAAAAGCCGCGCGGGAATAATCCGACACATTCAATTCACCTTGCCGTTGGCATTTTTTCCTCAGGTGCAGGTGAGGTGTGGAACGTGGGTCTCTCGCATCGCATGTTGATAAAAGAGAGCGAGAGGGAGAGAGCCTTTGAGTTCATGCCTCCCATATATATATATATATATATATATATACCAGGGCGCATACATTTTTATTCATTTTTTTTTTCCTTTCGTGACAAATGAAAATTCCAAATTTCAAAGTGCACTTTTCACTGTCCCAATGTTCTTGCAGCGTGTCGAAACATGAACTTTGTCCCTTGAAGGAATGATGCATGCCCGATACAATATATGAATCAACCCGGAAAGAGTTTTTCTCTCCCTTTCTTCTCTTCTGTTTTTTTTTTGACAGTACAGTACAGTACTGTACTTTACTTTATATTTGGAACCCTGCCTGGAAAAAGAGCAATTCTGCAGATACGGTGTACAGTATACTGGTCCTGTAAATGAAAAACGAGTTTCCTGATTGCCGAGCAGAGGCAAATCGGTCCACTTTGATTCCTTTGGACCTTGAGATTATTTCGGGCTTCGATTCATCTTTCGAAATGTTCAAGTAGGTTAATAATGGAAGAATAAAAAAAAAAGTAGGAAACACCAAGTCAGGACAGAAAAGGCATCTCATGCATGTCATTCACGCTTGTTTCTGAGCTTGACTTTCAAGGCAGTGTTCATGACTAAACAACACTTTATTGTCTTTATTTATTTTTTTCCTTTTTGTATATACAGTAATTTATGGGAGGAAAAAAGGAAATGTATGTGTGTGTGTGTGTGTGTGTGGTCTATCGCAGAATGAATGCGGTACTTGATCAAGTACAAGATGTAAGGTCCGAATTCCTTTCAGCGTCCTTCACTCGGCTTGTTATTGAATGCCTCTGCTTCTGCTGCTGGTATTTCGTTGATACAGTATATACTGTACTGTACTCTGGAATCCAGCAGGAAGGTGATTGTGTGTGTGTGTGTGTGTGCATAATCATGCCTTTGGTCTGGTCTTGTTGAAATGGTGCAACCATTACGCAGGATTAAATTGTGAGAGAAAAAAAATGATCGAAGAAAAAATCCCTATCCCTGCGCAGTACAGTAAAGTAATATACTTGCAGGGTGCATGACATACTCTGAATCTCTCTCTCTCTCTCTCTTCCCCTCTAAACAGCGGTCAGTCTTCCGCGAACTTGAAACAGACGACAAGTCACGACAAAAAGTCGTGACGCGCGTGTGTGTATGTACGTGTACAGAGTGTAATGGAGGAGGAGGAGGGAAACCTTGAGTCTTGCATTACTGGAGAATTTCCAGGGGGGAGGGGGGTCAGAGATGAGATGGCACACGGTGCAGTCATATGGAGGAAGTTACAACGAAACTGAACCCACATGTGTGTCTTTTGTTTCGTTTCGTTGTTGAGGTCCTTTTACCATTTGATGACAATTCGACGATGACGATTACTGCTCATCATCTGACTGTTTTGTTGTTGTTGTTGTTGGTGTTCGTTGTCTGCCTGCAACTGCTTACTATTAATTGTGATTACAGGGCAGTACGGAAGTGGTTTCCCTGCTGCTGGACCGTGGCCTGGACGAGATGCACAAGGACAACTCGGGCTGGGCCCCGCTGCACTACGCCAGCTTCGAAGGACACGCCGAAGTTTGCCTCCAGCTACTCGACGCCGGGGCCAAGGTGCGTGAGTCATCATCACCCTGTTGCTTTTTTTTCATTTCTTATTTAATACTCATTATTGTCATCAGTCATCGTGTGTGTGTGTGCCATTATCACACACTCTCTCTACAGCAATATATAAGTGCGTATCTGTCGCATTGCACATACAGTAGTTTTATCTACCACACACACACACGAGGGTATTGGTATTGTTAATTGATTAATAAACTTGGGAATAAAAAAATTAATAAATAAGTGGCAGCCTCGGACGTCCGGTTTCCTCGACAGACGTAGTCATGGTTTCTCTCCTTTTCTGATGCGGTCTGTTGTTACCTCTTCAGATTGCCAATTATTCTGCCACCGAGTACATTACAGTACAGGGAAGGCAAATTCCTCCATTTTCACTCTACTGAGCAGTACAGTCTTTCGAATATTGAAGGTGCGATTCTTGCCGAAATAAATTAAAAAATAAAAATAAATAAATGCGTGTGTTTGTGTGCAGTCGAATGCAAGTACGTCTCAACCAACACCCACGCGGTTTGAGGGAAACCCAGCATTTTCGATCGGTGGGTAACAAGGGAAGGGGGGGGGGGGAATTTACAGCAAGTTACAATAATGTATTGGTCATTGTCTTCTGATGGTTCTGCGGGATAAATGAGTCGACAGCAGGATCCTGAACTTGGAAGCGAGGGTATATTGGCCCGATTAATGTACTGTCACTAGGTTACTACTGGAGTCGTGAAATTCCTTTTGAAAAGCGAAAAGTTGATTGAAACGTTTTTTTTTTAAATTGCTCATCTATTATTTTTCCTTATGCGTCCCTAGAAAAAAAAAAGCCAGAAGGTCTCCCCAGAAATATTACCGTACTTATATGAGAGGTATGTGAGGTTCAACAAGAAGGTCTATCATGCATTCTTTTGCTGGGAAATCAGACAGGGACTAAACACAAATCGTATAGGGATACTTGCTGTGGAAGCACAGCAAAACATCTTCAACACAATGCCTCACCTATTTTTTTTCCTGAAAGGCAACTTCTTTTTATAATAATAATTAATATTTCTGTAAAAATCCATTTGACAACTGCAAGTACTGTAATGCTTTTCTATACAATAAGTTTCCGTAATGTTGGGAGCGCCAGCAGAGGGAAAATTACCCGTTGACTCGAATCTGGAGAAAATTTATAAAAAAGAATAGATGTATGGAAAGGATTGATTTTGATTCAATAGCATTGAAAATCACTTGGAAACAAATGGAACTTGAATCAACTCTGTGATGAATTACAATTACATTTCGTCAAGCAGTGACATCTACCCGCATTTAAAGGACAATTCCTCGTCGCGGTGGACAAAGAGCAGTAATGAAATTCGTCGAGTAATAACTCATTTCCTGACCCTCTATCTAAACTCCAGGTTAATTAATGGTTTCAGTTTTTTTTGTGGTACAGTACTAGTCAAGTACTGTACAGTATTTTGTGTGACAGGATTCGTTGCGTGGGGGGGGGGGGGGTTATATTTTCCGGGGAGTGACCCCGAAAATTTGACAGGTCACTTGTCACAAGTGCCGACTTCGTTGACACTCGTTGCGGAAATGGAATGAGGTCACCTTGCATATATGAACCGCAAATTTATTTAAGCGGAACAATTTCTTATTTTTATTTTTTTTTTGATGGGTGACGAGGACTCGGTCTTGCGAATTATTGAGGACGTTTCGGTCCTTACCTGTCGTGTTGGAATGGCTGTGGAAATATGATTTATTCTTCCTCGATGAAAGTTGATATAGAAAGTGTATCCTTTGAATCCACCCCCCCCCCGCTTACCCCAAATAATCGCCAAGAAAAAAAAAAGAGGAAGACAGAGGTTGTGCGAATTAATAATGGCTGAACCCCGACGTTCGGGAAACGCTGGTGGTGATTCTTGTGTTGTACCGTACAGGACAGGACAGGCACTTCCTTCTTTGCGAAACCCCGTTCTGTCCTTGCTTTTATTGAGGAGGAGAACAAAATACAGTACAGTAGATGGATGCAACTCGGATTCACTCGAAAACATGCAAATCCCTTTCCATACGAATGCGTACTTTTTTTCTTTCTTTTTTTTTGGCTTGTCTTTGCCGTTCTTTTCGTGGCGCAGAAATGATCAGCACCAGCAAGGGCATAACGGAAACTTTCAACTTGGCGTTCAACATGAGTAAACCTGTTGCAATTCTTCCTTTTTTTTCCTTCCCTTCGTCTGTACGGTATCTGTAGTGTTTGTGCTCAGAGAGAATCCAAAAATACCCCTCGTGCTGTGCTTCTTTTTCTTTTCTTGTTGCAAAATGGCGATAGTCTCTGAAGAACTTTTGGCATTCGTTCCGTCTAGGGCTTGTTGCGGTTTGAATTTCGCAGATGCGGCGGAAAGTCGTATACTGTACTTTCCGAAATACCATATTCTATATACAGTATTATTTTTATTTTGCGAGAGATGGAATAAGAATGACAAAAATATAATTTCTTCTGAATCCGTCGGCGAGTTATAGAAGAAGAAAAAACGGACAATTTCGTTTTACGCTTTCATCATTGACCTTGGTAAAAACAAAAAGAACCGGATGATCCGGGAATTCGTGACCAACGTGTCACATTCCGTGACATTCGCTTGAATCCTCGGGTTATGATTTGCACATTTTCCCATTCTCATGCTCTTCACTTTCTCTCTGTCATCCTATTTCAATTTGATCACGAGTTTTCTTTAAATCATATTTATTGAACTAATGCTTGATACTGTATATGTACATGCGATGGAACGTGGTGTGTCCAGCAGCTGAGCTTTTGCTTTTCCAGTTGAACTAATGCGTCTTTACTTACTTTTTACTCAACTTTTATCGATAGTGAGGAGGGTAGAGAGAGTTGAGAGTTGTTCATTTTTTTTGTTGGAACATGTTTGAGCATCAGGGGGTGGTCGTGTTCATGGGTTTATTTCTCTAGAAGCTTAGTGCGGTACTGTATTTGAAAAAAATTGAGAGAATTTTGGATGCAGATTTTGAATTGCTTCCTAATATCCGACGAGACGAATTAACACGAAAATGATACTCATGCGTGGAATTGGAAATGGGCAGGAATTATTATTATTAGTATTATTATCATTATTATTATTTTAATTTTGTACTGCATTTTGATTCAAGAGTGTGATTTTCATTCCAAACCGTGTCTTGGTCGAAAAAGCAATCATGCTAATTGATGCGTGAATCGGGGACACGAAATGTTTAATGCAAAACATGCTGTCGAATATGGAACGTGCCCTGATTTTTCAAAGCCAATTTGTTCTCGCCAAAGGAAGTGCAGTACTGCATAATGAAATACTGTACTGCATGCGTGTACGGCAGAATAGAATATGCAGGAAAGGATCAATGCAACACAAGAAAGAAGGAAGAAAAGAAAGTGACTAGAAAAATGAGCTATAATGTGTGCATATAACTTTGCATCGGTGAACCATATTCGCCTTGAACTTGACAGGAACACCCCCCCCCTACGAGGCAAATTGGCAATAAACAAGCAACAGTATTCTGTTGTACCCGTTTTGCCTTTCATCCATGACTTGATTCTAGCTGGTCACCAACAGCGAGAGGAACTGCATGTACTGTACTGTGTACAATGCAATACAAAATCCAATTCACGGCAATAACCGTCTTTACCCGCATCCATTTATTCTTCAAGTGCTTTTTGAGGTCCGACTCGGGACAATCCCATCTGACCTCAAGAAAAAAGAAAAAAAAAATAGAGAAATACTGTAAATCATTGCGTTTCTCTTGGGCAGCGATTTCCTCGTACAGTACACGGGGGTAACCCGTTTTTCCTGAATGAGAAAAAAATACTCTCATCCATTGCAACAATAACGCTGGGAAAACAAAGGGCCAATTTTCATTTCATTACGACGAACAAACTATACTGTACAGTACTCGTCTTTTGTTTTTGTTGTTGTTGCTAAAATTCGTTGGATAATGGATATTCTTTACACTGCAAAGTATCATCATCATCATCCCTCTCCTCCGGAGTAACACTCTGGGTTCGGTTCGGGTTCACTGGCTCCCGAAAAACGCAATCGAACCAGATTAATGCCCTATACAGTATTGTCATATGCAAGGAATAAGATATTTTGTTTTGTACAGTGCCGTATCGCCGTCGAGTGAGAGGCGTGTGTGAGTGTGTGTGTGTGTGTGTGTGTGTTTATGGAGAACTAAAGGCAACCCGTGTCGTGTCCCCCCGTGGAATGCGCGTGTGTGGGCACCAAAAGAACCCGGTTCACCTTGAACGACCGTGAGAAGAATCGAGCGAGAAAAACTCGTCATCGCAATAATAAACGATCCGACGACACTCACACACATTCACACGAGCGGGAGACGGAAAAAAGAAAAAAGAAAAACAAGAAGACGAGGGCCCTTATTGTGCTTGAATGAGGAAGGATAAGGGTGTCTTCGAGTGTTGAATTATTCCACTGTACTGTACAGTAAAGTACCAGGCAAACAATAAAAGAGGGGGGATCGTTCGTTTCATCGAACGCGAATCAAAACTGTTGCGTCACATCTTCACAGACCTCTTCTTTTTTTTTTTTTTTTTGTTCATTCAACTCTTTGAAGTGACGACACTCAAAAAAAAAAAAGGGCGACGGAAACTTCAATGTTTCGACTGTTGCCTGCAATCTTTTTTAAAATTTCTGTACAATTTCCTCCGGGCCACGCGGAAAAGTAACGGGGAAAAGACGGAGAAATGTTAATGAGGCAATTTTAAATAATAATTGCAGTCCATTATTTCAGCTTTTTTTTTTTTACCCTCCCCGGAAAATCCGAAAAATACCCCTGGTTGAAGAGAAAAAAAAATAAATTCCATCATCCAAAGAGAAACGAAAGAAGAAAAAAAAAAAGGTTTTGTACTCTTCAGTAGCACCTTTTCCCCAATTTGAAGTACTGAAATGTTTTGTGGTGTATGTGGGATAATTCTTCTACCGAAAGCGGCTGAACCTTCAATTTACAGTACAGTACTTGCACTTTATAGAAGTGGCGAATCAAATTGAAAGAATGATTTCCAAACGAGTGAAAAGGTACATAATCGTACCAATTTGTTCTTGTTGTGTGATTCGAGTGAGATCTCCCAAACTTTTAGGTTCGCTATTACTGTGCAACAAACAGTATTGATCTTCAGCCGTTTGAAAATCGTCATTGAGGGATGCGATGTTGGAATTGGACTTTAGGAGATGATGCAATCATTATTAAATTTTGGGGGTCTATCGTCGTCTGGTGAAAAACACGACAGGTTTTAGGAAAGTTTTCAATTATTATCTCCCTGGTTCTCTGCTGCTCGTTCTTGTGTGTGAAAAAAAAATAAAAGTGTTCATTTATATCCTCGATTTTTGTTTGTGAAGATAATAAGAGATGACGAATAAGTGTCACTGCGCGGGGGGAAATAGTCTCGGCATCATTTATTCAATTTTCATTACTCTGAATGCTTGACGTATACTGTATACAGTATACTGTATATATGATTCATTCGTGGTGGTAGGCTGACGACTTTGGAGAAACCCCTTCATATATCCAAAAAGTAATGATAATCATTTCATTTTTTTTTTCCTCTCTTGGTGCATCCATCTATCCATCCACTCAACCCGCGTGTGACGAGAGTTCCGCTCTTAAATAATGTACTCCACTTGCCTTTCCTCTTCTTTTCGTGTAGACATTAACCCGCATTCTTTTCGGGTTCGGAATCTAACCTTGACGCATCATTCCCATCAATCCCATCGCCGACAATGAGCTCGTCGATGCCGGCGGTGGTTCAGAAGCGTCTTCCTACTGTGTTCGTGTGTGTGTGTGTGTGTAAAGCTTAATAGCCTTCACTGCATCGAAATACTGTATATTCATTTTCATGTGCAGTACAGTTCAGTATTTTTTTTTATTCATATCATTTCCGAGACGAGGTGAGGTGAGTGCCTGATGTTGCTTGTTTGCTTCACGGAGGGAGGGTATTTTTGTGGAATTCCTTCATTTCCCCTCATTCATGCCCGAGACTTGACCGTGCTTCCTGCTGCCTGACACACGAGGTCGCACTTTAACGAGCTAACCAACCAACCAACCAACCAACCAACCAATCAACACCCATTAAAAAGAAAAAGGAAAGTGGGGGGAAAAAATGAAGAGAAAAGAACCACTCTGCAGGCAAAAAGTATGTGGCCCAGACAGACTTCTGACATTATTGCTTGAAAAACAGGAAATAAAGAAAAGGTATCATAGAGACTTGGAATATTGCACCGAAATTCAAGGGGGAAAAAATCCGTTCTTTACAGGTACTTTCTTTGTTAATACAGGGTTGTAAAGACAACCCTTATAATAACATGCGGAAAGAACCTTATGATGGGACCAGAAACAAGATGCAGTTTTGTGTGTCATTTCCCCCCCCCCCCCTCGTTCTGTCGTGCATCGAATGCCTCAAAATTCTTTGCACTTATAGTGTACCTGTGCAGAGTACAGTACTTGCTCCGTGAAATACTGTAACCGAGACTTTGATGAGGACGTGGTGATGTACTCTTGTGTACTTGGAGAAATATTTATACTGTATACATTTATGTAGGACGGTCTAAAGTTGCGAAGCTGAGAAAAATTCAGGGTCACTGGATCATTTTTTTGTTCTTTCGAGGTCTCTATACGTATGCACCTGCATGCAAATAATGCCTTTTCTATGTAAGTTGACATTGAACATATCGAGTACCGAGTACTGAATTCGTCCTTCAAACCGTTTCAGCGATTGTAAACTCAACGTTGAATCATATTATTTTTATAATTGTGAAATATCTGATAATATAATATGCTCGTCAAGTACTTTACTGTGTTATGATATGTACGGCATGCATGTATCCCGGTAATGTACAGTACATGTATCTTCTATTTATTTCTTTTTACTTGGAATTTCCGAAAAACAAAAACAAAACAAAAAGAATGGAGGAAAAAAAGAAAGAATCCTGCGTTTTATGGTCGAGAATCGGATTCGTTTTCTCCCGCAAGAAAGGAATGCGACCGTGTCGCGAAGAATGGTGGAATTTTCTGGGATTTTACGATGCTTCGGAAACCGTAAAAGAAAACCCCCACTATATATTGCGTTTCGTTGGAATCTCTTTGCATTTCTCTGACGGTCTGCTTGAAAAGGACCTGTTCATTAAATTTAAAATCCCCATTTGTCCAAGTCTCGTGACGGTTTTCTTTTCCGATGTGAAAAAAAATCCTGTTATTCCCCAGGCGTCGTCCAATTTGCAAACCTGCAGAAAAAGCGGACGACGAAAATCTTTGTTATTTTTGGTGCGATGTACACCAGTACAGTGTCTAATTTTAATCTCTACTCGAGTATCGACCTTTCTGCAATGTGCATATGCATATTTCTTTTAAAATTATTTAACATTGAAAGTCGAATGTTTTTCTATTATTATTTACAGTTTTTTTCTCCTTCTTCTTTCCTCTAGTGCGGATAAATTCTCCATTGCCCTTGAAAATCATTTCAAGTCATCCCGAATTCTTTCATTTGCTTTCATGGATGTATTTTCTTTTTTCTTTTTCCTGAACGCGATGTTTGTTACAGTTGCATATACAGTACAGTACTGTAGTAGAATTCCATTATAACGGACCTCGATACAACGAATCTTGTCCGTGGTCCCAGCATTTTCAACTTTCCATACATTTTTCAACTTTTTACTTTCTTGCTGCAGAATATTTATAGAATACTGTACACCCTCATACCATACGTACCCTACTTTTCTGCCTTGATTTAAAAAAGAATGTGTGCGTAGTATTTAAGTAAATTTGGTACTGAACTGTATTCAAAAATTTTTCTCTTTATTTTATCAGAGAGAATTTTAAAATCGTGAATCATCTGTATACTGTGTAGCAGGACTTGACAGTGTCCATTACCCATCACTTCCCACCACATTTCAGCCTGAATGAATGTGTTTAAAAACGAACAAAAACGACGAATCTCCATGCAAGGAATCTTTTCTTGAGGATTCTGGTAGTTTGTTGTTACGAGATTACACAATACTCTGTGTGTTTGTGTGTGTGTGTGTGTGTGTGTGTGTGTGTGAAACGACTGACTCGGCTCTAGATGATGACCCATACAGTGAATTCCTTCATTTACTGTATCTGCCTTTTATTCTTGAAAATATGTTCCGACTTGTTTGTGAAAAGTCACAAATATTTTATTGGTCGCATTCTTCAAGTCAAGGTTGGACGCCAGATGATGCCTTTTGCTTTCGATTTCCGCATCAGCGTCTCAAAACGCCGCGATGTGCAGTATTGTACAGTACAGTACAGTACATACAGTATTTCCTTGAGCAGAGATGAGGTACATTTCCATGCGAGCAGCCGCTTGAGTTTTTCTCAAATTTTACTGCACTGCACTGTACATCTGTACACCTGTATACTGAACAGTATTTGAGAAGAGTTCTTTCTTCTTATTTTTTTTTTTTCTCCGTCTCTCTCTGTAGTGTGCCAGAGGTTTTTTTTAGGCTGCTGCCGTTTCATTTCCTGGTGCAACTCCCATCACAAAATTGCGCACTTTAAATCACGCCGGAAAAACCCAAAGGGGACTTTGAATGTAAAACATTTAGCGGAGTTTCGAGGCAGTTGGCCAAACACTCTGGGTACTGGCACTGGCAAAGGACCAGTACTGTGCAGTACTGCATGCGTGAAATTCACGCGAATTTGCGATTCAACCAAGGTTTACTTTACTTTTCTCGGTCGAGTGCTGTATTATATCGACCATTTCGGTTGCCTCTACATAGCACCAATACGAACATTTGCCTCGAGGAGGATGAGGGGGGGCTGGAAAACAAGGGATAAATGTGAAATGTGATTCCGTGTTGGTCGGGTTGATTATTTCAATTCTATATACTGTACAATACGCAGGAACAACACAAGCAAATGAGCAAATCACCTTTCTTTTTTACGCGGCAGGGTCGAAACTGAGTTGTTTATTATTTAGCCACGGTTGCCGCGCGAAACTTGGATTTGCAACTTCAATGAAATGAAAATGTTTTCCGACCGGAGGGGGCTGTTATCCGAAACGGAGATGGCTTGCCTGAGAGAGGATACAAAATGTATGAGGGTGGAGACCGGAAGTGAGTTCAATCCCTCTTGCCGGGGATAAAAATAACAAGCCGGAAGTTTTTCCGGAAAGATTTCCTTTCGGTTGAGTACGTGTGAGACACGAGGTTTCCTGCGAGTCTACTCTTTTTTTTTTTCTGGCCGAGGTCGCGTTATTTATGTATTTGTTTGCCTGAGAATTTCCCCAAAGTTTTCTTCTCTAAAGTGACTTTCATTTTCCCACCAATTGCTTTTTAATTGCATTTTTTTCCATCACTGCTTCCTCATCTGCTTTTTTCCTTCTTGCTCTAATTTTGGCCTTCTTGAACAAGGTAGAATCCATTATGGATGACGATTGATTGCTTCACTGTCTATTCCTTCTGAAAATGACTGCCAATTTAACGCGTGACCTCAATCCGTAAATGTCGTGTTTTTTTTATTAAATTTTTATTTTCCTAATCAACACTCGCCAAAATTCCAACAATGCAGTTGTGTAAAGATTCGAAAACTTGTCATACTTGATTTCGAGCAAGAGTTCCTGGTCATGAATCTTGTGGTATAAACCTATCGCCAATTCGTTTACTGTACTGTATTTTCAGTCATTCACAAGGCTCGAATAAGGAACGTGTGAAATCTCTCAAACGTTCGCGCATTACTGTACACTGTGTACAGTACAGTACAGTATTCTTGAAAGTTGAACAAGTTTCTCTTGTGCATGCTGCCCTTTCTATAATGGAGCAGCAATAAAATGTATGAAACAGCGAAACCTTGACGAGTAGCAGTTATTGAGACAGGAATTGAGGAAAAAATGAAAGAAAAAAAATCCTTGACTCGAGCCGCAAAAGTGAGAAGGTGTATAAGCAATTCTTCCCTATACTCTCTGCTGGGTACTGACAGCAAAAAAAAAAAATATAGCAATTATTTATGAAATGTTTCAGTACGTCACTTGAATATTGATGCATCCATTTCTTATCTCTCATTTGCTGTTGAACCAGCCCAACAACAACGACGGGTTTTTGAAAGAAGAAAAAATAAATAAATAAATAAAAAATCGTCGTAACTCGCACAAAGAATTATTGAGGAACGACAAGAAAATTGTTTTCTCCGAGATCCTATCGTCGTCTCGCACTCCCAAGGACGAATGGCACGTGACTTGCAAAATTCATAAGGACGTGAAATGTCCACTCTTGGCACAGTACAGTACCTGCTTTTTCCCCCGATTTAATATGACGAACTGATCAGTTGAGTGAGTGAGTTCTGCTGATTGCCAGTACCTGTACTGCACTGCACTGCACTGCACTGCACTCTACAGTACTGTACTGTACCGTACTTGGCTTGAGCAAACATCAAAAATACAGTACATTATACGTACAAGTATGATTGGCGTGTTTTTGAAATGCGATTGTTTTTCTCCCTTCCTTCTTGATGAACTGTAGTAAACATCTTTATCATTGTAAAAACGGTGGTGTCGAGTAGTGTCGAACTTGTGCGGACGAGTAAGAATGTGACCTGATTTGTGGATTCATTGCAGTCAAGCCCTGTAAAGATGATGCCACCCTCGGCAATTTCCGATTTATTTATTTAGAAAGAAACAAAAAAATAATAAACATCGAATGTTCCATGATGATGAAAGCATTGGAAACCCAGGTGTTGAAATGCCTTTTGAGTTTCATTTCCCACCAAAGAACGGATTCAATGAATTGTAAATGAGGGTGCTCAGCTGATTGCGGCCTGAAACACATGTTCACGTGAATGTACTGTACAGTATTATTTTCCTAGTTTTGTAACAAGTCAAAGAAGATTCGAAATTCCAAGAATTTAAGCCAATAAAATGAAGCATCAAATTTGTGCCCGAGTGACATGAATTTGAGGGTGATTCTTCAAGAATTCCGAGAAGACTATAAAGAGCAGTACAGTACTTGATGCTTTGAAATGAAGTTCAGCCTTTCTTATTATTATTATTTTCATGGTTCTGTACTCTGTCAGGTCAGGTGATCTGACATGATCTGACCAGAACGTACTCCCAACAGATTTCCTGGTCTTTGATTGGCGTAAATCGAAGAAATTCCATGTGCGCATTACAGTATTGTCACGGGTGATGCGGGAGGAAGACCTTTACTGGTTATTTCCTCTCATCATTCCCAATACTGTAAACAATATTCAAGTTTCTAATTTAAAAAAAACACTAACACAAACCCAAATACATGACGTAATCTACCTTCAGGGAACATTAGCTTGGTTCCCCGAATTTACCCATGCCAGAGGGTTATTTTGACTGATTTTTTTCCCTAGAAGAATGAGAATTGCACATTCCCAATTCTACCTAATTTTCAAATCATGTTCGGTCTTTATTTGATGTACAGTAAAGTACAGTACTGTACCACTAACCACCACCTTTTAAAACGGCAACAAACCTCGCAAACAAAAATGATGGCACCTTATAATCGAGGTTTGACTTGCACAGTACAGTACATTATACTGTATTATGAACTCCCTTCTTTGTCGATTTAAAGAATGGATTGATTGCATTGTAAATCAGTGCATTTTGCGTATCATCATCATCATCATCTTCTTCTTCGTTCCTCCCTCCCATTTTCAGATTGACGAACCCGACAAAGAGGGCCGCACTGCCCTCATGCTGGCTGCCCAAGAGGGCCACTGCTCCGTGGCCGGCGCCCTTTGTGCCCGCGGCGCCGGACTCGAGGCCCGTGCCCACGACGGGCGCAGTGCCGCCCGCACGGCGGCTGTCCACGGACACGGCGACGTGGTCCAGCTCCTCGCTGCCTGCGGCGCCGACGTGGACTACGCCGACCCCGACGGCCGATCCACCCTCTACGTCCTGGCCGTCGAGAACCGCGTCAACATGGCCCAACTCGTGCTGGACCTGGGCACTGCCCGGCCCTGTGCCCGGGACGCCGACGGCAGGACGCCTCTGCACGTGGCTGCCTGGCAGGGCCACGACGCCATGGTGCGTCTCCTGCTGCTGCAGGCCGGAAGAAAGACCACCAACAACAACAGGACGACGACTACTACTACAACAACGACCAACGCTGGTGGTGTACTCGTGGATGCCGAGGACTCGGACCGACGCACGGCGTTGCAGAGTGCAGCCTGGCAGGGCCACGCAGCCGTGGTGCAGGAGTTGCTGGCCCACGGGGCCCGCGTGGACCACGCGTGCAACCAGGGCGCCACGGCGTTGAGCATCGCGGCGCAGGAGGGCCACCTGGCCTGCGTGCAGCTCCTGTTGGACGCCGGGGCCGACCCCGCGCATGTGGACGCCTGCGGTCGGTCTGCGTTGAGGATGGCGCTCAAGGGCGCTCATCTCCAAGTGGCCCGACTGCTGGAGGACCGACTGGCTGCCATTTCAGGAGGAGCCGATGGCGGTGGTGGTGCCAGTGGCAGGCAAGTGCGACACCACCACCGCTCGGCCACCACGCCGACGTCTTCTGCGTCGTCCATCGTCGCTGCCTGTGCAGCAGCGGGGGCCAACACCAAGGCCAGGACGAGCACCGGCAGCAGCAGTAGCAAGGGAACAGCGTCGCCGACGTCGAGGTTCCCCAGACTCGTCGACGACTACGACTACGATGTCGACGATGATGAAGAGGTGGAGGAGGCAGAAGAAGAAGAAGAAGATATACTAATAGGGGATGATGAAGAAGATGACGACGACGACGACTACGTTGGTGGCGAAGAGGAGGCGGCGAGGCAGAGCGGACTAGAAAAAGGAGAACACGCGAGGGAAAGTAGAGGCCGTGAAACGGCAGCAGCAGCAGCAGCAGGAGGAGGAAAAGCGGGACTGGCTCTGCAGCTACAGCAACAACAACAACAACAACAACAACAACGTCAGCTACAGTTGCAAAAACAGCAACAGCTTCAAGGACAAGGGGAAAGCAGCCGCCGGAAACAGGTTCCGAAAACCGCAGCAGGAAGCGACGGAAGGAAGCCACGACCAGCTCAGCGCAGGTAAATAACGTTCTTCTGGTCACGCTTGCCGGTACAGTACTGTACTGTACTGTGCATCGAAATACCATCAGTCAGTGACTTTTGTCATTTTCAAAAATGCAAAACAGTTTTTTTCAAAATGTTACTTTTTTATGTTTAGAGCATTCGCGTACATACAGTTTTCTTTCTGATTCAACATTGTTTTTTCATTTCTTTTTCAAAACACTACCGAATGAGAAATGATAGCTTTCTGGTTACAGCCAGAAATGTTTACTCACTCCCCAGTATGTTCTACATTTGTCCCGAGAGGTAAAAAAAATTGAAATGTTTGTTATTTCTATGTAGAATACTTGTACTGCACTGCACTATGTTTCGCTCAAGTCAAGTCTGGTGGAAATTTAATTGCTTTTGATTAGCTTTCTCGTAATAACTTTTCGGGGTTTACATTGGCTGGGTTTTCATTTTACAATTTTCAGAATTTTTTTCTCGAAGTTCTTTGCAAAATCCAATTTCGGCGCATTAAAATGCCTTTTTTCCCATTCGTTTTCATTTTAAACCGATATTCATTTTACCTTTTTTTTCTTTACATTGGCGCAATAATTGCTATATTTTGTGAATTCCAATCCCATGCCGTCAATTAAATATCTCTCAATCACCTGTGAAAAACAATACCTACTACAGTATTTTTCACATCATGAGGCACATTTTGAAAATTGATTCCACTTTTCAACAGAATGTGCAATTATGCGTGTCAGTGGGACAACCCCTCGGATGTGCTCGGGAAAATCACCGCAAACACCTGATGCAAAGTCGAATATACAGTACAGTATTTTTAGTGAAAAAAAAAACAATATTTGCACTAAAGTGGTGCCTTGGTTAATGGGCTTGTTCCATCATGGCCATTATTGAGAAGTTTCATTATCGGAAGTATTTTTTCAATGCGCATCTTCAAGAACAGGTAATTTGATCCCTATGCTCTTGGAAATGCGCATGAAAGTCCCCAGACCCGACCCGACCCGACCTCAGTAAATGTCACGTTTCATTATTTTGAATGGCGCATCTGCTCCAGATCCCCAGTACAGTACATTTCCGGCGTAATAATCTCTTTTTTTTCCACAAATTAATCTTGGACACAGAATACGGTTCATAGAAACAATTGCAGTATACGGTATACCCGTCATTTTTCAATAATGACAGATGCATTGCCAGAGCACGAGCACATGTGACAATTACTGAATGCAAAAATTGAATCACAAGGAGTTCAGCCTGTTCCCATATACTGTAATTATCAATTGATCAATTTGTGAATAATATTTTGAGGATAACATCATTTAAAGCCAACGCTTTTTCGTGTTCCTCAAAGATTTGGGAGAGAAACTGTTCATCAAGTTAGTGAAAATCACAAGGCTCTTGATACGGTACTTGCATTATTACAGTGTGGAATGCTGGGCATAAGAAAGGAAGGTGTTTTCTTGTAATGCAGTAACCAATACATACATATTTACCCAGAATTAATTACACTATACAGTACATCAGTACTTACACTTCTGAGAATTTAGTAAATTTTTTATTGAAGTGCCATAATTTTGTTAACAGAAGTGTTAAGTGTTGACAGAGATACAGTATATACTTACTGGAAAATATAAGCAGTACAGCAATGGGTTAGTTTTATCACAAGTTATGTCAGGTACTCCTTACTGTATCAGAATTTGTTTGTTTAATTGTTTAAATTTTATTTTGTTTAAATTGCGTTGTTATTTTAAATTTGTTTGTTTAGTTAGTTAGGGATGCTAGTTAACCCCTTCTCACTTTTTATTCATTCGGGCTTGTATGCGTTTCATAATTAATCAGCGACAAAAAAAGTTGAAAAATTCCCAAATGATGCTTGCAAATGAGAGCAATTGTGTTTTAATAATGAAGTAACGTTTTGTGTTCAACGTTAGTATTTTTTTTAATTGATGGATTCATTGACGTGCAGGCAGCCGCAGCAGCAGCAGCAGCAGTCGACGACGAGCAGCCACGCGGGGACTGAGCTGAGTTTCACGCAGCAGTTGCAGCAGCAGTTGACTGGGCGCCATCGAGGACAGAGGAAGACGCCACAACAACAACAACAGCAACAACAACAGCAGCTGAGGAGCCCCGTGTACGCCACACCGCCTCTCACGCCGCCGTCTCCGCAGCCCACACTGGCGGCACCGCCGCTTTCTGCGTTGCCACAGCTCCCACTGGCACCATCAGCGGGCACCGGCTCTCAGCCGCCACCCCCTGTCGCCGCACACGCAGGACAGTCGTGGTGGCGGCGGCCTCACGCCCATCAGCTTCAGTCAGAGCGACCACATGCACATCATCCTGGGCAAGAGCAGCGTCACCAGCAATGGCCACAGCAACCACAATAATAACAACAACAACAATAACAACAGCAACAACAACAAGATGCTGTCCTCGTCTTCCGTGTCCGGCTCGTCGTCGTCGTCGTCGTCCAAATTCGGCGGCTGCAACTTCAAGCCCGTGGCGGGACTCAAGAACCTGGCCGGGGGACTCTGGGGCAGTCGACTCGGCAAGTCCAGTCAACACCACCACAACAATCACCACAACCACCACCACCACCACAATCACAATGGCCTGGCCTTTGCCAAGAAGGAGACCCCGCTTTGACCACTGGTTGGTGCAGGAGCAGCAGCTGTCTCTGCTGTGTCTCTGGTGAGCTCCATTTCTTTTTTTTTTTTTTTTATTTATTTTTTCAAAACTCCAAGAGTCTGTGTACTAATTAATACAACGACAAGAACCTCAGCGATTGACAAGCAGAGAAATTCTCCGCACTCGGACCGAGTGTGCCGAGAAAAACGCCGCCCTGTTGAATCAAATTCAAAGGCGTGTCCCCGACCTTGAAAAGAAAACAGTTACTACTGTGTTGTAGTTTCATGGAAAAATGCCAGAATTGCTTCAGAGAGTAGTACAGTATTTGCAGGGTTCTTGGCATTTCATCAACAATAACAACAACGAAATAAAATTTCAAGATTTTCCTTGGAATGTTGTCGGCGTGCAGCTGACAACATTCCAAGGTATAAAATGGCAATTTTACCCGAAGAAGAAGAAAAGAAAAAAAAAAAAAGAATGTCCACCCTTCTGCAAAAGTGGTGTGTATTTTACGCTGATTCCGTCGCCTGTCCAATAATTACACTGCTGGGCATTCTCATTTAAATTCAGTGTACTGTACAGTACATTAAAATCATAAAAATGAAAAAGAGATGCAACGAATAGATTCTTTCCTCCTCCAGGACTCACGGAATACGCTTTATGAAAAATTGACGGGATTTCGTTGTGTTTTTTTTTTTTTCTGCTGATCCACAATGAAACGAGAGAAAAAAACTCTATAGTTGGCCGTACAGGACTTGAAGTCGTGTGGTCAGTCAGCGAGTGTTGATTAAACGGGAAATGGAGAGGACGAGGGGGCACTTCTGTAATCCGCTTGCCGTGACCCAGAAAGCATCATATACAGTATATATAGTACAGTACCTGTAAACAACAAACTTTGCAACAATCATGCTTCTAGAGAGTACCTGTAAGAAATACTTCAAAATAAAAAAAAAGAACAGACACACACGCATGAATAGACAAGAAAAGAAAAGCTCTTTGTCGTATTTTTTCTCATTTCCCCGTTCGCTTTCATTGTTTTCTTTCTTTCTTTCTTTTTGCACTCGGCTTTCTTCGGTATGTGCGGAATGAACCAACCCACTGACTGACTGACTTTTTGCTTTCTCAACTTTCTACCGAACGGCGTGAGAAAAGCAAAGCGAGAATAAGGAAATGAAGTGTCGCTCGCGGGCAATTGAAACACTCTCTTGCTGGTGACTTGTTGCGAAATAATTGCGACTGAGTCGGTGAATAATTCCTGCGCGGTTGTGTTGCGATGCCCGAGGGCATCAGGGGCGAAAGTTGCAGCAGCAGCTGATGATGACGGATGGCGGTGGTTTTCATTCCCTGTTTGTTTGTCCCTTATTATAAGTCTGTTACAATGCCTGAAACGACAACAACAACAACAACTGCAGTACCTGCATAAATACGGGGTCTTCTTTTTTTTTTAATTTATTTTAATTCACCGAGTCGGCGGTCCTTTTTTTGTGGTGCCTTTATCAATGCTCGCCATTTATTTCTAAAAATTCCTCACCGCTCGGCCATATTCCTGCATTTTCAAGAATAAATTTCTCCGGTTTATTGAAAATAAATAAAACAGAGCTTCAAGTGGTTTGTACTGTAAATTGAAGGCTAATATGCAAGAAAACACGTGAACGAATGAATCAGATTCAACTGTTGACCTTCAATCGGCAGCGCAAATTATAATGAGCGCGTCTCCGAAATCAAAACAGCGATGTTTTACTGTACAGTATTTGTGTGCAGAATTGGAAATCCTTATTGTTGATGAACATTTTTACTTGCCTTATTATCTGCTCAGATGAGTGGTATTCATTCACCAATTTAAAATGCAAGAAACATCTTGCACACCACTCAACAGCAGTGGTACTTTACTTTACTTTATCCCGTGTCGTGCTTGAAACGCCATGGGTTAGGGTAACACAGTACAGTACTGTATACAGGACTAACTTCGCGCTTGAACTTTCCCAAGTCAATTTTTTTGGTCGAGTCTCTGCCTGGATTTACCTTAGAAACTACTGTACCTTGTAAACTCCTACGCTTTCCACCTCAAACCTGCATCAGTATCTCGAATTTTCTGGAGGCCCTTCGGCTGCTATTTCATGGGCACAGAAAAGGGATGAAAATGTAACTTGATGCTGGGGTTCGAAAAGGAAGTGAAAGACAAATGAACCCTTTGCCTCAATAAACGTGAGCTTCCTTTCATCTCATTCAAGAAGCGATTGAAAGACCCAGAATATCACCAGCGATTATACTGTACAATATCCTGTAATCTTTTCCTTCTCTCCTCCGCCCGAAGAAAAAATAGAATAAAAATAAATAAATGCTCGCTTTCCTTTACGCAAATTTGTCTGCTGGTCGTCTCTTGAACTTTGACTGTGTAAGTGAGGTGCTCTGTTCACTGTTCTCAACCAAAACTGAGCTTTCGAGGGGAAACAAAAATCAAAACGAAAGAGAAAAGAAGCACTGTTGTGCAGTACCTTGAGGGTAAACGAAAACGAGGCTCTTCCTTTCTCATTTTGGCGCAACACTCGCACCCTATTTTCGCGCCTGCAGCAATGACACTCAATAAGTACACAAGTCCTTTCGCAGGGGGGGGGGGGGGGGGGGGTTGCCGGTTCGAAATGGAAAACCTTCCATTACTATTATTATTTTTTGTTTCCTGCAATAAAAGGGGAAGCGGAAGTCGGCAGTCAGTCAACTCTCGCCCCCGCCGCACCGTCTGTGTAAACTGTACGTTAGACAGACTCTGTGTACATTACTGCACATACACCCTGGGTATCGATTCTGGCGTCGTCGTCGACGGGCTCGAACCTGCTACTCTCGCCAGCCCACCATTTGGGGAGGTGCGGGGGTTTGCAGTACGCCACAGCATTTCAGTGTGTGTGTGTGTGGATCTCACGCGGGTGGGGGAGAGGGTGGTGGTGGTGACTGGTGAGCCACTGCTTGGGAGTTCACAAGGGACAGAGGAGATGGACCGACAGACAGGTGTATGGTCGGCAGACTACGGCGACAAATCATAGGGCGGAAAAGATACTCGAACGCAGCGGGTCGCGAAAAGGGAAGGCGGGAAAGGAGGGAGAGGAGGAAGAGGGAGGAGGTGTCGGTCCAACTCTGATACGCGGCCAGCCAACAAGCCATGCTGTACACTTCTCATGGGAGAATACGGGCCTTACATTTCAGGTCAACTACATTACTGTATTGTATGAGATTGTCTTGAAATGATGGGTACAGCATCATTCTATAAGACCTGCACTTACTGCCTCCCATCAAAGTCCTAGCTGGTTTTTTTTTTCCTTTCCTCCCAAAATGAACATGTGTTCAACTTTGAAAAATACATTACCCGAAACGGAATGTTTAATATGCACTTATGACCCGCCCGCGCCTGAGGCCCACTCATTGGGTGTATTCAAGTATGGATTACATTTGCTTTGTTAAATTTCAACTCTCTTGAGAGGATACCCATTATGTTATACAGTACTCCCTTTTTAATGATTTTGAATGAGTATTGAATTTGATTTGATATGGTTACATTTTATTCATTACACTGTCACGTACCTTGGATAAAAAAACAATAAAGGGGGACCACATGGCAAGGGTGTGCCAAATCCTAGTGCATAAAGCATTTGGCAAGACCCCAGATGCAGGCATAATTGGTGCAATCAATAGTGTCCCTGAGCCAACATGTCCCTAAGTTGAGTCATTTTCCTATAGACTTACGTAATATATATTTTAATTTGTGATTATGTAAGAAATATTCTTCTAAATTCCATGAAAAAAATTTCTTTGCCACCTGAATTTGATTCACTGAATATCTTTTCAACTCAATATGAACATTTGGATCATTCAGTAGTATAGTGTACCTCTGTACAGTACATTGAAATGTTGGCATCTGTATAACATTCAAGTCACAAAGAGAGAAGGAAGTCCCTCTATGGTCTATGCTGTAGGTATTTTTTAAATTAGCTGAATGGATGGGCAAATGATGGAAGAAATACCAAAGAAATTTTTCTTCCATAGATCTTAGGGTTGGAATTATCTGTTTCTTGCAATCAGGCCTAATAAAAGTCAATTTTCCTGAAATGTATTAGCAATTTTATCATGCATTGTCTGCATGTCAAGTCAGTGTCCGTATATGTTGGGCCTTTTTCATGCTGTTAAAAAAAATAAAATAAATGTTCCTATGTTGAATTTTCTGCATGATGAGGTGTACACATATGGGGGTCTCACTGTACTTATATAGAAAGGAGAAGTTTTACTTCCATGATTTTCCTGACAACAATATTCTCTCCACCACTGGTTACATGTCCTGATTGACATGTTAATAGTGAGAGTCTAGCAATGAAAAATGGGCGCCGTTTTTTCATTTTTTTTTTACAAACAACCATAAGACAATTGACATCACATTCAAATGCATCATGTAGTTTTCCACAGATAAGCAGGCCAACCCTTTCATCATGTTTCCTATTGAATGTAGAACAAATGTCAGAAGTTCAATATATGCATCAGAAGAAATGGAGGGCTCTACTCAGAAACACAAAGTAATGGATCTTTCTCCTTTGCCGTCAGTACCTGAGAATGTCTTGCATTCAAAGGACTCCTTGGCCT